TATTCTAAGCGGAGTTATGTTTGTTTAAAGTTAATGGTTAAAAACCGCAAGAACTTTCTTTACGACCTAAGATTACAATCATGCATAACTCGAGGTTAAAGCAGCTAGTTCACTTTCTGATTTTCAGTCAGTCAGGTTCACAGTTCTTCTTGTTTTTCTAGATTTTCCAGGTTTTTTTTTTCCTTAATTTCACTGCCTTTTTCTAAAAGAAAATGTGTAGCCATGTTTTATCTGTTCCCAATACATATCGGTAATGAACAAATACACAATAAAGTAAAGATCACTGAATTTATTGATTTTCTAGACCGCTACAGGAATAGGGCCAAATCCTCCATTATTGTTCCCATTGCGTCTGTTCTCAAATCTGCTACGACTTCCTCCACTGCTTATACCATCTCGTGCGTTGAAACTGTTTATCTCTTCAGAAAAGCGTCCTTCAAGGTTGATAGTTCCTAGAATGAGAGTAAAATCCATATAAAGTAAAGTAATTTTACAGTAATCTTAGTCTCTTAGTCATTCATCAAAAAATTCATTCTTAAAGTTCACAAACCTAAGTCAAAAGTCTTGGCTGCAGATTGACCCTGATGGTAGTAGGTTTGGGGTAGCTGCACACTCATTTGGCGCATGCCCTAGAATTAACAGCATTCAGGCAGAAAGTAGAAACAAGAGCTTTGGGTTTTCATAGACTAACCTCGCACTGGTGGTTAATGCTTAAGCTAAGTTGACTCATAGAGCTTTGACCATTTAATCCTTCATTACGAGTTTCTGCTTTCACGTAAAAGCTTCCAGAACCATCTACAGTCGTCTCATCGTAAACGAATGGAGAAGCACCATCTAGAAATTCCGGAAATTACTTCACTAGTAATCTAATCACTTCTTAGAAACATACTTCTATTCTCATAAAGTGTTACTCTAGCTCCCTGAGCTCCCTGAACTCCACAAAGTAAACGTCCTTTCACATAGTAACTACGTTCGCTTACACTGAAAGAGCTACAACGTGAATCAAATTAATAACAAGGAATTCTTCGAAGAATTTTTGCTCTGAGATAGGCCCACCTTTGACCGGGAGCAAAACCGCCCTGTCTGTTTGGGATAGCAGCAAAGCCACCAAGAATGCTTCCAAGATCGGGGAATCTTCCAGTCCCTCCCTGTATTCCTTGATTTCCTTCTTGGAATCTGTCACCCCCTAAAGAACAATTTCGTCACTTAATTTGATGACAAAATAGAAAACTTACGTCCAAATGGAGGAAACTGAGCGACTGCAGCGGGCAAAACCAGCAGGAGAACAGCCAAGGAGTACATGTTGCAATTTTGCTGAATTCCTAACTCAATGTCCTTATATACTACAAGTAGGTGATGGGTTTATTAATATTGGTATGGGTTAAGGATGTCCAAGAGATGTGCAGGGTAGTTAACAAAGTGTTTGTGTGTGCTACATTTCCCTCAGGACACATTATGGCAGCAGAATCTGTAGTGCAATTTGTAAGTGGGTCACACGACGTAGGCTTGTTCCTGACTTCAGATCAGCTAGTTTAGAAGGAAAACCCTTAGCTATTGGCGCAGTATTGCATTTTATTGAGTTGTCGTAT